CAGCTACCAATGGGACTACAACTCCAAAAGCCAGGCTCAAAAGCCACAATAATAGAACAATACACGTATTAATTTCATATCCAAACAAACAACCAACCATTGCTGCGATTTAAAAGACACACAGCGCCATCTATTATCGTATTATCGCAACAACGTGTCTCAAACGCATGGCAAATAAAAATCAGTTTGGCAACAGGTCGCGGGATCGGCTACGAAACTGTGTACAAAGGACATCGAGATTTGTTGGTAGAGTCAGCAAAAAAGATAGCTACAGGTAATACATAATTTAACCATAAAAAAATACTATTATTAAATTCTGACTTCGTTATAGATTACAGAACAGTATTGTTATGTTTCGGCAGTTGCAAGTAAGGTAGCCAGTTTCTTTGTGGTTGAGGATCCTGGGTAAAACTCGCTTCTTTTCGGTCTGATCGTCACTCCATCAGGTGAGACGTAGGCCAAGAATTTCTCCATTGTGGATAAAAAAAGCTTTTAAAAAGCTCTTTTACTCGTCACAATATTAGTTGTATACTATGTTATTTCTTAGTGTTCTATTTTGTATGTTTGTTTGTTTGGTTGTAATGAATAGGCTCAAAAACTACTGGACCATTTTTTTAAATTCTTTCACCATTCGAAAGCTACATTATCCACGAGTAACATAGGCTAAATTTTATTTTGGAAAAACATAGGGTTCAGCGGTCCACGCGCGCGAAGCCGCGGGCGGAAAGCTAGTCTAATATAAATATTTTGATAATGATTTTAATTTTCATTACATTTTGGAAAAAAAATCGGCCACAATATTTTTACAATAACTTTGCTGACCGTACATGTTTTAGCTATCTATTAAAGCGATGTTTTCCACAATTGCTTAAGTCCGTCTCCATCTAATGTATTTACATAAATTTAAAGCTTCCTTCTTAACATAGAATATACCAGACATTAGGATATAACTCGACATTATGGTCAAAATATTTTAAGGACAAAGCAAATTAATGAGCGTATTATGACCGCTCGATGGACAGACGACCTTATAAATGTTGAATTTTATAACGATACTAGCGGGTGACCGCGACTTCGTGCGCGTGGACCCCGTTTTACCCCCTTAGGGGTTGTATTTTGCTAAATCCCGTCTTAGTGAGCACCTACGTCCTAAAAGAAACCCCCATGCAAAATTTGAGACTCCTAGCACTTGTGGTTTCTGAGATATCGTGATGAGTAAATGAGTCAGTCAGTCAGTGACTTTATAACACAACGTTATGTGTTATTTAATCCGATCTTTTTGTGGACAAAGTCGCGGGCAAAAGCTAGTCTTCAATAAGCACTTTACCCTTGCCATGACCATAACCATAAGGCATATTTGTCATCACCGTATCCTGGTTTCTTTTAAAGCACCTTGAATCATAAATCGTCTTCAAAAATACTTTATGACAGTTGAGTTGACGTCATTAGGTTCCGTATACATTTTTCATGGTATTTGTCGCCTTAGCTAATGATATTAAGACACACTGGGTGAACAGACGACATCATAAAGGTAGCAGGTAAGCGCTGGACGCAGGCCGCTACCAATCGACCAACATGGAAAGCATTGGGGGAGGCCTATGTTTAGCAGTGGACGTCCCATCCTATGATGATGAACTTTGATGGACACAACTTCATAAAAATCACTAATTCATTTTATCATAGAAGTCCTGTAATATTATTTTATTAAATGAATCATCATCATCAGGTCATTTAGTCTCCACTGCAGAAGGACAAAACTCTCTAATTTGCCAAAGGATTTGGCCTAGAAAAATTTTAATATGTAAGCTGATTTGGATTATATAAATTAGATTTTAATATTAATAATGATTAGTCATTCAACCAGTTTATTTTAAAAACTGTGAAGACACAACCTGCTTTTTCTATATCAATTTTTTAAACAATAACCGGGCCTTTCAAGGCGAGAGTGAATAAGCACTTCTTCTTCTTATCGTGTCGACAACACACCTCAGTGTCAGTCCAAAACTCCGCTACAAGAGTGGATGAAATGAATAAGTTCTTACAGGGCAGATAATAATTATGTAACTATACCTACCATCCTAGATTGCATCTCACTTAACACCAGGTGCGATTGCAGTCAAATACCTGCCTTTTTCTGCATAAAAAAGTGAAAGGGAAAAATAAGAAAATTATAATAATTAGTTTTATGTTGATTTACTGATTTTGTCATTATACATTTTGACAAATTATTTTTAGATGAAAGAGTTTCCAAAAAACAACACTTTTTAAACTGATAAAATAAGTACCAAAGTTTTTGCTCATCTCTATGGAACCCCAAAACAGAAATAAATTAATCATTTATAAAGATATCGCTTCAAGCCTTCCTGTAGCCAGTTTTGTAATTCTGAGTATGTTAATTTATTACCTATACGTCCTTACGAAGGATAGCCAGATGAGTCTTTTAGCCGACATCGCAGAGGAGGTGTGTTTAAGCCCACTAGCTGACCTGATGAATTTCCTACCGCCTGTCATCATCATCTTCATCATTTCAGCCACAGGACGTCCACTGCTGAACATAGGCCTCCCCCAATGACTTCCACATCGCACGGTTGGTAGCGGCCTGCATCCAGCGCCTTCCTGCTACCTTTATCAGATCGTAGGACCGTCTATGTTCATCAGGAATGATGTACGATTCTAATAGTGAAAGACATTTCCAAATCGGTCCAGCAGTTTCGGAGCCTATCTGTGCTTAATCAATATCCATAAAAGCGAAAGTCATCACGAAATCTCAGAAACTACAAGTGCTAGGAGTCTCAAATTTTGCATGGGAGTTTCTTTTATAACGTAGGTGCTCACTAAGACGGGATTTTGCTAAATTCAACCCCTAAGGGGATAAAAAGGGATCCACGCGTACGAAGTCGCGGGCGGCCGCTAGTACCTACCTATTATAAAATTAAAGAGTTTGTTTGCTTGAACGCGCTAATCTCAGGAACTAGATATTATATGATATAGGATAGCTCATTTATCGAGGAAGGTTTTAGGCTAAACATTACCCTACAGCCAATAGGGGCGGAGCAGTAAAGGAAAATGTTGCAAAAACTGGAAATATTATTCAAACTATTTTCACGCATACAAACCTAGTCTATACTAATATTATAAATGCGAAAGTAACTCGTCTGTCTATCAGAATCTGTCTGTCTTGCTTTCACGCCTAAACCACTGAATCGATTTTCATGATATTTGGCATAGAGATAGTTTGGGTCCCGGGAAAGGACATAGGATAGTTTTTCCCGGTTTTGGAAACAGGGACACGCGCGATAAAGTCTTTCTGTGACAGACAAAATTCCACGCCGAAGCCGCGGGCGGAAAGCTAGTATACTATGCCCCAGCAGGGAACCAAACCGAAGACCTCCGGGTCACACTTGCAGAAACTGCCTACAGTTTGTTAAATACACAAAAAGCAAAGGTCGCGATGACATAAAGGTCACGTTTGATGGTATCATTGACAGGCCAACCTTTTAGTAAGATAGCGTTTGATAAATTTGTAAACCACGTTTGTTTTGCAATGCGGACGTATACAAAACAATATTATTGATGATTGGTCTAAGTACAGTTCAAGTATAACTAACTAGCTTTTGTCTGCGATTTTGCCCGCGAAATGTAGTTTGTCAAGCCATGTATTCATTAGGCAACATTTGTTGATACTCTGTTTTTAAACTGTTCATAGACAAAGTTTCATAATCGTCATCATCTCTGTAAACAGTTTATAAACAGTCCATAAACATAGGTGATGAAACATTGTTAATGATACATGTTGCCGTGCTCCCCGCTATGAGTGGAGAGCAAGTGTGGACGGCCAAGTTTCAGAAACCTGTGTTTATGGTAAACTTGTTTCACACTAGTCATAAACAGTTTATCAACAAATGTTGCTTAATGAATACAAGAGCGCTTTCACAAAGCATTAGGGCGTTAGAAGCGCAACATCAGTGCGCGACAGCGGCGTTTTTAGTACACAGCACATAGTATGAAATTTTCGGCAGCGCGTCTGTCGCGCGTTTGTCGCGCTGCTAAATCGCCTAAATGTGAAAGCTCTTTTTTAAATAGTCATACTATATTTATTTAACCCTTATATGGGTTTATTTCTCTCAAACTTTTTATCTTTTGATTAAATGTATCCTTGGGAACAAAATATCATAACCTAAAAGGGACAAATATGCGAATATCAGGCCTCCTCAACCCGTCTGGCCAGCGTGGGGAGTGTAGGAAAAATCCTCCATTTGCCTCTGGTAAATTAGAGAGGGTCGTCTCTTAGTGAAAACGAACGAAGATAAAAAGTCACTTGCTTGGTTCTTTAGCAGTTAATACTGTGTTTATTTTGTAGTGTTAACAGTACGTTACATAGTTGTTTAATGTCCAAATAATGCCTATTTAATGATTGACCTATAAGACGGTGGAATCTTGTGTGCCTTGACCATTTAATATAGCCCGAAGACATTATAGATTGTCTTTAGACAGTAAATGATGATAATTTGAAAACAATTATTGGCATTGTTTAGTCAAGGATTTGCCTCACTTGCGATCTGCGGTCTGTGGTCAAAGTGAACGCAGCCTGTATGACTTTGTCAGTCTTTATTATAATTTGTATTGATGCGATTTGTCCGTGCGGGCACGAGTTAAGAACGCAAACTGCACCGCTGAAAGATTACCTATAATTTTGGGCCAGAGTTGACCTTGGAGAGAATTCATCACTTTTAAGGTACATAGCACACTTATCGACCTGGAAAGGGATCAACACACTATCGCCCTTCACCGTGCTGTTAACCGCAAAGCGAGGCGTTTACGTTACGGCGCGGATAAGTATGCGTTGTTGCGTTGTTTCATACAAAGAATACTGACCGCCTTGAGTTGATACGGTTATGATTCGTTTCCGGGTTGATAAGTGTGCTTAAAATCACAAATCTGTTCATAATATTCTAACCTATTGCATGTTACAAGAACGAAAAAAAACCAAGAAGACTCACCTGGGTTCTCGCCTGGACAACACCAGCTCCGTTCGTGTTCACTACACCGTTGTTGCACTGAGCCTTGTGGACGCACACGTAGCCTTGTCCAGCACAGGTCTGCTGCAAGTCTCCACCAGAATGCTCATGGGCATGCACATTTCCAGTCGATTGGAAAGCCTCATCGATGTTCTGCTGCGTTTGCTGCTGCTGTTCGAAGTCGAATTCACTGCCTTTTTGCGAACTTTGGATCAGGTTCACGTTGGAACCGGTTGAAGCCGTGAATGGGCTGGGAGAGGATCCGGTATATCCTGAAGCACCGAATTTGTTGGACGCAGAATTGAAGGCAGAGCCGGAGAAGCTGCCGCCGAAGGCACCGCCTTGAGCGGATCCTGATGTGAGCCCGCTGTTTCCAGCTCCAGCTCCTTGACTGCCCTGAGCTCCGAATGCGTTGTTAGATGCAGAGAAAGCGCTTTGGCTTGCTCCAAATTGACTAGCGGATTGTCCTGCGCCTGATTGACCAGCACCGGCCGCTCCAGCGCCAAACTGCGCGCTTCCAGCTCCAAATCCGCCTTGCGCGGCGAAACCGTTCTGTCCGAACTTAACGCCTCCATTCAGGAAGGGGTTCTTCGAGATATCAACGTCCCCTTTGCTTGAAGAACTGAAGGAGGACGATTCGAATGAAGAAGACGAGAATCCGGGCTTAGATTCAGCACCAGCAGCGAATCCTCCTGCCAGTTTCGAGAAATCACCGTTCAGGAATGGATTCGCAGCGATATCAACGCCACCAGCGCCTGCTGTTCCGCTGCTAGTGAAAGAGCTGGACGATTTGCTGAATTTTTCAAAGTTTCCTCCAGCGGCGCCGTTTTTGAATGGCGAGTTCTGGTTCATCCACCAGAATGGACCTCCATCAGGGATGCCACCTTCGAAGACATTTCCCAAACCACCGCCAGCATGGAACTGGAATTCGTTGCCAGTATCAGCGGCTGCAGCTGCTTGGAACGCGTCTACGTTTCCGAACTTTTCGACGACGCGTCCATCTTTTACTTTCAGTCCAGCGCAGCCCTTGTCGCTTGAGCAGCCTTCGAAAGACTGCTGAGTGTGGACTTCTCCTCCGGGCAGCGCTTGAATCGCTGCAAGCACATCGTTGGGAGATTTGAAGCTTAGCTTGACGCCTCCTGAGCAGCTTGTGCAGCGTTCGGCTCTTGCTTGAGGTTCGCTTTGTTCAGATTCTGAAATGACGTCTTTGGTAGACTCCTTGGTGTTCTCGAGGGTTTCGGAGCGAGCGCCTATGGCGAGGACCAGGCAGATGGCCACCACTGCCTGTAGTGGCTTCATTTTTCTGGAACAAGAGAAATGGTACGTCAATTTTGGTACACAAATTATTAGATTCGTTGCGGGTCCCATGATAAGTAGTTTAACTTTCCACTGAGACAAACTTAGCCTCCAATTGAGGGGTAAGCTACGTCTAAATTACTCAAAGGTTTAATTAAAAGAATATAATTTATTAAATATATCATGCTATATTTTATAACTGCCTAAATTGTAAGACCTAATGTGAATGTGCTAATGTGGTTATGCAATAAACGATTGAGTATTGAGTACCTATTAAATATTGAGAAAATGTTTTGATTTGATTTGATTATCTGCCGTACCTAATATATTAAATGAGTGTTTATACATATATTTTCAGTCTTAAAACCCGTTAAGCTTTTTATTTAATAACTTGAAAGACATTTTAATTGAGTTTTGTTTCACTGAAGATTTATTAACAAAAGCCGCCATTTTAATATGACTGGAATGATTCAACAAAAATTAACAATCGCATTAATAAAATGAAGATAGGTAGGTATTTATGACATAATCTCGAATTACAAAAAATATTAATTTTGATTTATTACGGATACTGTCAACAAAAACTGGTTGATTATAAACAGGTGTTGATGAGTTTAAAGTCCGTTTTAAGGCAAGTCAATACACAATAGGGACAAATACATATTCGATGATATAATCATGGTTTATCATCAATACAAATAAATTTTATGTAAAATCAAACTCGTTTTAAGTAACTTAGGCTCGCAATTTTAACAAACTTTTATATTTAGAAAAATGTGTTTGTTTGAACGCGCTAATCTCAGAAACTGCTGATCCGATTTGAAAAAATATTTGTGCGTTGGATAGTCCATTTATCGAGGTAGGCTTTAGGCTATATAACATCACCCTACAGCCAATAGGGGCGGAGCAGTAAAGAAAAATGTCACAAATACGGGAAATATTATTGAAACTATTTTCACGCGTGCGAAGTCGCCGGCTAAGTAGTTAATATTTTTTGGTATTCCTACCACAGATTCTTTACTATTTAAGAAACCAATATTTGAGGAACCAATATTGACGTAGTCGTAGTTATTTTAACTCGAATTTGAAGATACGTCGAAGATAAATTTGTATATAATTAGTATTAAAATATACGCCCTTGAACTATAACGTGGAGCTCTTTTGTTTGGAATGATGATGGCTTGCCCGCCTGTGAGAAGATGGGTTATGTTTTTAATGAATTTCGTCGGATATGACACTATTTTAGTGTCAAATTAAAGCTTAATTACCTACTAATATGTATTATAAATGTAAAAGTTTGTAAGGATATTTGTTACTCTTTCACGCTTAAATCGAACTGAATTTATTATACTTTTAGAAAGATATAGAGATACTTTTTGAGAGCCAGGGAAAAACAGGATAGTTTTTATCCTAATTTTTGAAACGGTACCCAATCGAGAACTAATTTATTAGCCAAATTTTGTGGTACAATTTACTACCTAATCAAATCCTACGAAAAGCCTGTCGTTCACTGATGTATTGATGTATTGGTTAGATTGTTCCTTTTATCTTACCCCTAGTTTCTGAATCAAGATTTTTAGCTTTCATATTATGGTACTGAGGATTTGTCCAAATACTTAGGTAAGAAGGCCAAAGCCTATCGCTTAAATCAATCTCAACTGATACAAAGTTGATTTTAATTAATGATTCGACAGAACTGCCTAAGAATATAATGTCATTTATTTGAAGAAAAGTTCAAAGACGGCGTCCAAGGTTGCCCGAACCAAATTAGAAACGATGCATCACATGTTAAAGTACACAGTGCAGGAATGCTGCAGTAAGGTGCATTTGTACAACCTTTACAGGACTTTTCCCACCTCTCGTTCCCAACTGCAACTCCTGTGCAGCCAGGATCTACAGCTTGACCGCCAATAACCCAACCAGTGAAGGTCAAGTTTGTCCCGGGGGAAATTTGATTTTAATAATTCCCGGTATTTGTTTCTTTTCCCGAGATTCCCGGATTTTTCGTATTGTATAGGCTCCGAAACTACTGGGCTGGTTTGAATAATTCTTTCACCATTACAATCCTACATTATTTTTGATGAACATAGGCGGTACGAAGTTCGCCAGGTCAGCTAGTTTCATACAATTGGACAGCCACGAGAAGTACGTATGAATCATGAACCAGGGTAAAGTGTGAGCTGTCAAATTTTTATAAATAACTACGCCTACGCCAAAACTGATAACTACCTATGTAGAGATTTACTCATTTCACCTCTGCTGTACTAAGTGTCGATATAAATGGAAGTCGAAGGCGTATGAATCAGACTCAGTCTAAGGCTGAGCGTAGGCGACCACAGTAAAGTTAGGCAGTAACTAAAGTTAAGTTAATGGGACTTATCTATCTTCTGTATAGTCTAGTACAGTCAGGATCTTCAGCTTGGCTAATAGAGTGATTCAAGAGGAAGGATTATATGTATAACTAGCGGCCGCCCGCGACTTCATACGGTGGATCCCGTTTTATTCCCTTAGGGGTTGAATTTTGCAAAATCCCATCTTAGTGAGCACATACATTCTAAAAGGAACCCCCCCGTGTAAAATTTGGGACTCATACGGCAAGTGTGGTTGTATTCCCCAGTCGATGAAGCACATGATGTCGTGCCCTGCGTGCCCAAACAACTGCACGCAGGAAGATTTAATGAATGCTACTGACAACACTCTTGTAGCGGAGTTTTGGGCTGACACTGTGTAGGTTTGTTGTCGACACGACAAGAAGAAGAATACATAGCACCGTGAAAAGCCGGGGAGGTCGCTATAGAATCTAATAAATCAAAGTCAAAATTTGCTTCCACCTTTTTAATATAAGTTTTTTTTTGTAATTTCTTTTTTGTAAAGCAAGCAATAAACGATTTTTATTATTATTATTAAAATGTTCTTTATTTGTATAGACTAAAAATAGTACTTACAAATCGTCAAATATTTTGCTCTTAAGGAGCCTCTACATGTCTCATCTTTTTACCCTGCCAGCGCGCTTCGAGAACAACATTGGGCAAGTGCTGAGAAGCAGCTTCACATTTTACGATATATAAGATTACTAGCTTTCCGCCCGCGGCTTTGCCCGCGTTGAATTTTGTCTGTCACAAAAAAACCTTATCGCGCGAGTCCCTGTTTCAAAAACCTTTCCTTTCCCGGGACTCAAACTATCTCTATGCCAAATTTAATCAAAATCGCTTCAGTGGTTTAGGCGTGATAGCGTGACAGACAAACAGACGGGCAGACAGTCAAACGGAGTTACTTTCGCATTTATAATATTAGTATAGAAATATTTACGTGACAAAACTATACTGTGTCATTCGATATTTAATTGTACTTGTTGTATTTGAGTTCTAACAGTCGACCTAACCAAATAAGTCTATAAGACCCTCGATACCTATCAAAATATATTGTTCCCAGATCGCAAATATTGATTAGGTACGAATGGATGTGTGTTTTGCATTGTAATAACATTAAGTATACAATGGAGTATTTATCTTCATCTTAAATGTGCTCTATTTAATAAGGTCATAAGTCTATTATGTAACATCATCAGGTCATTTAGTCTCCACTGCAGGAGCACGTCTCTAATTGACCAGAGGCAAGAGGATTTGTCCTACACTCCCCACGCTGGCCAGACGGGTTGGGGAGGAGGCCTGATGTTCGCATATTTGTCCCTTAGTCGCCTCTTACGACATCCACGGGAAGAGTCGGGATGGTCCTATTATACATTGCCAGAAGAACAGGGCAAAAAGCTGCTTTATAGCTATTATTTTTTGTATGTTTGTAGCGATTAAACTCAAAAACAACTGAACCGATTTCAATAATTTTTTCACCATCAGAATGTTATAGGTATTATCCCTAATTATCACAGGCTATAGCACACTTAATTCACGCGGGCAAAACAGCTGCAAAAGCTAGTTTATTTCTCTATACTAATAATATAAATCTGAAGAGCTGAAGCTTTCTTTGCTTGAACGCGCTAATCTCAGGAACGACTGGTGCGATTTAAAAAAATATTTTTGTTTTAGATAGCCCATTTATCGAAGAAGGCTTAAGGCTATATAACTTCACCCTACAGCCCATTATTCAAACTATTTTCACGCGTAAGAAGTCGCGGGCACAGCTTGTTTTAAACATATTATGAGATGGTACACCGGTGTAAGCTTCAACTGAATAATAAAGCCACTTTCGTTAAGCTTCATTACATAAGCTTCGTCATGCCAAAGTTATTCGGTTAACCTACAAGTTTGGCCACCGGTTTTAGTGTTGTGTACGTATCGATTTAAATATCGATATAATATTCAAGTATCAATTGATTTCAAATCAATATCAAGATTTAGGTGCGCACTATAGAACCGAGCTCTAAACTCGTTACAATTTGAAGTATAGATTCAACTTTTAATTAGTTGAATTTCGATATTTAGACCAATCAAAGGCTTTATTTATTATTTTGTATCCTTTTTCATCACAATGGAAGTTGTTAACCTGCACCTCCTCACCTGATAGAAAGTAAGAAGATAGAAGCGAGCTTGACTCGGAATCCTCATCAACTACGGAGGATTAAACAATAATCTGATCCGGCGAATTTCGTACCGCCTATTTTCATCAGAAATATTGTAGAATTCTAACGGTGAAAGAGTTTTTCGAATCGGTCCAGTAGTTTCTGAACCTATTCAATACAAACCAACAATCAAATCTTTCCTCTTTAGAAAGTAGTATCGATATCGGTAGTGTCCCATCACTAGACTGTGGCTCGCCTACCGGCTTTCAACGGCCTTGCGCCTACGCTGTGATGATAAGGTTACGGAGGTTAAGTTGTTTGCCGATTTTAGCCGACTGCTTAAATGTGGGTAATGTTATGTAGTTATAAGTGTGACACGAAGGGTCAGTGGCGTTTTTCACGCAGTGGGTTGAATTTGTAGGTGGTTTTGTTATTACAATGCCAGAAGTTGTGGGTTCGTACCCCGCACAATACAAACATTTATTTTGTTT